CCCGCCCCCCGGCCACCAGGACCCGCCACACGATGGAACCAGCAGAGCTGACGGCTCTCACCGGCGGCTTGTTGCATCTGCAGCGTGCAGAGTTTTCTATAAAACACAGCCAGCACCCAGGTTTCCAGATAACACAGCAAGTTTATCTGTGTGCTCTGGTTTGGGGAGCACCCTAGGCAGGAAAGCCAGCGCAGGGGAGAGCACAAAGCCTGTACTGGTGGGTCCGTGCAAGAACACGGCATGAAGCTGCTGCCTGCGCCCGGTCCCCGGGGCTGTGCTGGCCGCACGCACGCCGGGAAGCTGGCAGGAGGGAAAGGTGGGTGTGCGGACAGCCCACGCTTCCCAATTTCTGCCTTTATTCTCCCTCCGGCATCACCTCCACCTAGGTGCAGAGCCTCCTCCAGGGCTCCAGGAGGTCTGGGCAGGCAAAGTGCCCCCAACCCTCCTGGCAGCAAAACCTCGGGGGGGTATTTGCAAGTTTGCTTATTCTGTATTTTTCCTCCCTCGCTTCCCGATTTATTCTCTGTCCTTTTACAGTAAGTCTCATCGATCACAGCATTTACTCCCACTACGGGAGAGGATCCTTTGCCGTTAATTGTTGCAGACAAGGAGACAGGCAGAACTCTGCCCTGGCACAGCCCCAACTTTGCTGGGAGGGAGCCGTGCTTGTTCCCTCAGTCTGGGCTTTGCCCAGCCTGGAGGCACCACAGGGACGGTGGGTGACACATTTGCTCTCACAGTCCCCCAGCACACCGCCCTGCCAGCAAACACCCCTTACAGACCCAGAACCTGCTCTGCTGCCTAAGGAGATGGTTTCAGTCCTGTAAAACCCAGAGTCTTGGGTCTATCTCCCCAGTGATACAAAAGCACCGTGACTCCCAGAGTGAGAAGAACCACCAAATGCATCTCATCTCCAGCTGAATTCCCCGGATCACGGATCCCTCCCTGCAGAAAGAGCTCACAGGCACGCTGCTCCCGTGCCACCTCCCCAGCTGGCATGGCCAGAGCTCACCCCGGCGCGGGGGCAGGGCAGAGCCGCGGGGATCACAGGGCGAGAGAAAACACGGGACATCTCCCCACAAATGGGACTGACCGGCTGGATGTTTCTGCACGGTCACTGTCAGCACTTGGACCAGGTAACCCACCGACAGCTGCCCAAGATGCTGGGCAGTGCCTCTCAGAAAGGTCAAGATCATATGGACTTTTTTTTTTTAGTGTTTCTCTCAACCGATGTGCCCAGACCTCTGTTTCTCATCTCGTTTTCCAAAGCACAGATTACTGTGGGAGAGTTTTATCAAACTTACATAAGAGGAACATTTGGCTGTAGGGAAGCTTCCATCGGGCAAATGTTTTTATCAAAATAAATCTGCAGTTATCACATTGTCGCAGTAACTATGGCTATACACCCCCAAATTCAGCAGCTCAGCCCTTTTCCCCAGCTGGCCGTTACCCCAGCAGCACTTACGGACTGCGAGCTGTCCTTGCTGTTATCCCTCGACTTGTTCTTGGCCAGCCTCTTCTTCTTCTTGTGCAGGGGCCGCGACTCCAGGATCATCTCCTCCAGCTCGAAGGTAGGGTCGCAGTGCAAGCGGCCCTTCTGCGGGACACACGACACGGCACTGCACCTCAGGCACAGCACACACCCTCTCTTGCAGCATTCAAAAATGATTTCTCCAGCAGAAAGCCTCTGCTGAACGCAGCGGTTCTGCGAACAATGCGGACCGACCCTGCCCGGATGCTCCTACTCACGTTGGGGACGAAGCCCGGCTCCACCCGCTTCTCACCAACGTCACTCCACACCACACCGGACAAGTACGCTGAAGCCTGGATGTCGGCCAGGCAGGAGAAGCGATGCTCAGGGTTCACCGTCAGCAGCTGCGAAGAGAACAGCATCCCGTCAGGGGAGAGACCGGCATCCCGTCAGGGGCGAGAGACCCGCATCCCGTCAGGGGGGAGAACAGCATCTTGGACCCGTGTGGGTTTGCTCCTCCCATGGCTGCCTACGACACACGACCCATCCCTGCAGCTCCCTGTGCCGGGGACAGACCCTGCTCCCTTGGAAAGACGTTGGTTAGCTGCTCATCATTCTGGCCTCAACCTCCACATGTCCTATTTTCACACCACTTCTGCAACGCTGGGGATACTATTCCATTTATCAGAGATATGGATGACTAAGTATAGAGAAAAAAAAAACAATCACTTGATCCGCTGAGAGCCCATTCTGAGGACAGAGCAGACTTTTCAAGGAATTCAGCGCCGTGTGCCACACTGTACTGCCAGCTGGCTGGAGTGACAGCTTCCAGGAGTGCTGGAGGTACGCCTGATGTGGAAATTGGTCTAACACGGGGGTACATCTAACACAGGGTCTGGGTAGGGCTTCCAGAAAATTCTGTGCCTGGTGTCCCCCACTAAAGTCCTCACCGAAGCTCAGTTGATGCCACCTTTGTGGTACATCCTCAGCCCCATCCATGTGCATCCCTCCTCTCCCCAGGGTGGGATGCTTGTGGCAGCCGAGTCGCACCCACCTTTGCCCTTCTCCAGGACCGGTCCCCCAGCTGCTGCCACCACAGCTGGAGCTGCTCCCCACCCCTGGACCAGTTCTCACCATTTTTCCAGAGCACCTGGAACTTGAGCCCTGACCTCTGGCTGCCCCAGCTCAGCTTTGGGCATCCACCCGACAGATGGATGCCTATGGCAGGACCTCTACAAAATGCCCATTTGGGACTGCTTCCTTCAAAAAACCGCAGCATAATTCTAGACACACTAATTACAGCTGGCTGCGGCCTTTTTGCAGGAAATAAAATCAGCATTGAGTATTTTCCAATGCCAAAGGTAAGCGTGCAAGAAGCAGGTAACGTGTCCCACGCCCCAGCCGGTGACTGCGCTCGGAGCCAGCCAAGCACCCAAGCACGGGGATGTCTGCACAAGGGATGGGGTAAAAAACCATCTCGACCCCAGCTGATGCCTGGGCAACTTTTCAGACACTTTTTTACCACATAAAACTACCGTAATCTTTAAAATGAAAAGGGGCCAAATTCCCAGTTCCTGAGCATGGGAAGGAGATGCAGGGCATTGATGCCGGCAAAGCCACCGTGGGTGGGCAGGTGGGCAACGAAGGACCACAGCTGGGGCTGCCCCAGCACAGGAGCCCCAGCACTTTGGGGGGACATGGGGGGGTCCTTCCAGGCTGACCGGCATTTCCCGGGTGTGATGCTCAGCTCCCACCCGGTCTCTGGCAGCCCAGCAGATGGCAATGTGAACCCGCCCAACGCTCCGCCGCAGTCACAACCAACAGCTCTGCTTCTCATTAAAACAAAACCTAATTATGGAAATTGTCCACCCAGCAGTAACTTACATCGGAGTCACTTACTTGCTGTCAGCACCGTGCATGTCTTTTTTACAGCACGCTCACCAGCTACTTTTCCGAGTTCTCGAGCAAGCAGAAGCCAAAACTACAGCTTCCGCACCAGATCAACCACCTTCTCGTGCAGCGGTACAAGGGAAGCAGCAGCCTGTCCATAGGCACAGAAACCCCTCCAGGCAGCTCTCACAACCCATCTCACCGAACCCGCCCTTCAGTCCGGCAGAACTGGCCAGAGGGAGCAGGTACTGCAGCCGGGCTACGACAATCAGACGGGGGGATGCTGGAAGAGCACCAGGCAGGAATTTCATTGTCACACCAAAACCAGCCTTTTTCCCTCCCTTGCTCTCAAAAATAACGCATCTGATTGCAGGGACAGTAAACAAACAAAACACAAGATGAATCTGTGCTTAAGCCTGAACAAAGTCATCAAAATGAGCTCTGTTTCAATTTTACATCATTCATTGATATGCTGAAGGTTTTCCAGCCAGTTCACACATGCTGCAGCCAATGTACAGCGTAAACCACGCCAGCAGGAGTATTTACCTTCCTTAACAGAGCAACCATCTCTTTTGACCACGCAGATGAGTACTGCACGCTCACGGTACTGAAGAGCTGAACTAGAGACTCCACGGGGTTGTTGGAGTGGATGTCGTACGGCCTCTGGGGGAAAAAGCAGAAAGATGAGGAGAAACGCCCTCTCCTCTCTGCAATCCATCAAAAAGGGCATCCTTAGACCTTGACCGTCTGGGAGCCCTACCCAGCCCCGCAGCAGCTCATAAGCCATGATCCCCAGCGACCACCAGTCCACCTCGAAGGAGTAGCCCGTCCCGCCGTTCAGGAAGGAATGGAAAATCTCCGGGGCTGCACGAAAGGGCAAAACGCAACAGGTTATTCGCTGGCTGCAGCTTGTCTCCATTTCAGTATTTCACCTAAGTCAGTACGTAAACATCATGGTTATTCTCATGCACTACTGCCCGAGGGGAGCCGGGCTGAGCAGCAGCCCCAGCAGAGCCCCAGCAGAGCCCCAGCAGAGCCCCAGCAGAACCACGCCTGCCCTCGCTGTGCAGCTGGGTTATCCGGTGCATGCAGCAGGCACGGCAGAACCCAGCGCCCACCGGGACGCACCAAGTCCCAGTCCAGGGCCAGCGGGGAGGGCAGGGCGGGCTGGGGAGGGGGTGAGGGGGTGCTGACAGTGGTTCATCCATCTGGGAGCTTCACTGCACAAATGCTCAGGCTCTGCTGAATGGCTTGAGCACGTGCATCACTGTGCTAAAGGAACTCCGTGCCTGTGTCCCAGGCAGGGACCACCAGGCAGCCTGCGGTGAGCACGCGGAACATAAAACACCGATGTAAGGAACGGCTATTACTGCTTACCCATGTATGGCTTTGTTCCAGCTAATGCAGTTGCTCTTTCACCGTCCCTAATTATTGTTGCAATATTAAAATCTGTTAAATGTGCATGACCTTAAACAAAGACACATTTTAAGAAGGAATTAATCGCAGCGCAGAACAGCGGCAATGCAGTCACAACACATTTGTTTCATAAGCTCCTGCCCTGGGACGGGGCAGCATGGGCACAGGGAGGTTAGGGTCAGACCCCACCAAACGGCCACAACAGATCCCAAAGCTTCCCCAGGATCTCAGTCTGGCTAGGAGATTAAACAGCAGCTAGCTTTGGGGCTGGATTTTAAATCACCCTTGGAGTGAGCTGGTAATCTACACCAGCTCCAGCACTCGGTCACACTGAAGACACCAGGGAGACACTACACCAAGGTATTGCCTTGGTCGCATCAATTAAAATCCTAGAACCGTTTTGATAAAAGCCATTGAACCATGATCACCCCAAAGCCCCAGAGCTATAACACTCTGCTGTACAGACCGCAGCCAATGTGACCTGCCAGCTGAACTAAATCACCCTGCTACTCCCCAAACCCTGCACAAAGAAATCATTCAGATATCACAAAAAGCGCTGGAACACCTTCCCTCTGCTTCTGCTTTCTCTGTCACCAAGACTGAAAGTTAAAATTCAGAAAATGTCGTTATTTTCACAACCAGGAACCCACCCACCTCCCCTTCTGGAGGCTCCTCTCTGCTCTCCATCCGCAGGGCAGCTATGGAAGCGTGCGTAAATCACAGCCTGCCTGGTCCTGGGCACTCTCCCCTCACATCTCCTTTTCCCACTTGTGCTTGGGCTTTACACCCTGCACTATTTTCTGATGAACTTCCATGCAAGTGCAAGCCTTGGTTTTTACGAGGCTTTATGCTGAAACTGGGGTGGCTTGGAGGCTGAGAGGTTGTGTTGTCATTTTACAAGATCTGCTACTGGGACAGAGGGGCTGCCCTTGGGGGATCTTCCCGAGCATCCCCATATGTCCGACCAAACAACAAGCAGTCGGAAGGATGGTTGGTGCCTTCTCCACACCTTTCCCAGATAAAAAGACACAGAGCATTCAAGACCGTAATGAATCTGTCTGTCGAATGAGGGAGGCAGACAAAGCAGGCAGAGAGCCCCTACCTTGCTCGTCGAGGAGGATGTTGTCTGGTTTCACATCCCTGGGAAAAGAAGCAAGGTCACGGCAAGATGAAACCTCAGCCAGATCAAGGATGCAACTCAACAAAAAAACCTGCAACTTTTTAATCTATCAAAAATTTGAAACAAATAAATAACACCCCAACATGAGACAAGTCCCTGGATGATGGGTTAGAAATACGCTGCCTCTGGGCAACTGGGCAAAAAAGTGGGAGCACCTGACGTGTCTGGGCATCGTTTCTAAGGAAAACTAATAACACGAGACTGGACTTATTTCTGTGCAATTGCTTTGAAACCCCCCCCAGAAGGCACTTCCAGCTGTCACGAGGCGTGAGGCTCCCTTGGAGGGACGGGGAGCAGGACCAGCAGCCAGCGGGTGCCCAGGACCAGCACTGCTGGGGCGGTTTAACACCGGCACATCCCCAGCGTGGGGACACCAATGGGGGTCAGGGCGTCCCCACGGCAGTGACAGTGTCACCCGCCCCCCCAGCCATGGGTGACCCCGGCGGGGAGGGGACGCACAGGTACCCGGGGAGGGGATGCACAGGTACCTGTGGATGATGTGCTGGCTGCGCAGGTAGTCCAGAGCCAGCGCCATCTCGCAGATGTAGAGCCTGACCGTCTCCTCAGTGAACTGCACGTTCTGCTGCAGGTGGTAGCGCAGGTCGCCGCCCAGGAGCAGGTCCACCACCATGAACATGTCCTCCTCGTCCTGGAACGAGTACCTGCGGGACCACAGGGCTGAGTCACAGAGCCTCTTCGGGCTTTCCCCCTCCTAATGACACAGCTCCTGGAAAACCCCAAATGCACGTGCCGACCTCGGGGTTTGCACTTTCCCAATTAAACAAGCATGATGCAGGTTACTAAGAAGGACCTAAAGAGGGCTTATAAGAAAGATAGGGATAAACTTTTTAACAGGGCCTGTAGCAATAGGACAAGGCGTCATGGTTTTAAATTAAAAGAGGAGAGGTTTAGACTAGATACAAGGAAGAAATATTTTACGCTTAGGATGGTGAAATGCTGGCACAGGCTGCCCAGGGAGGTGGGAGATGCCCCATTGCTGGAAACATTCAAGGTCAGGTTGGACGGGGCTCTGGGCAAGCGGATCTAGGGGAAGATGTCCCTGCCCATGGCAGGGGGTTGGACTAGATGACCTCCATGGTCTCTTCCAACCCAAACTATTCTAGGATTCTAGGATGCCACCTCATTTTTTAACCTATTGCCACACCAAGCACCACGTCCTGTGCAGAGGTCAGTATCCCAACCAACCTCCCCCCGCTCGCCCTGCCACTGTCACCTCCCGAGCATTGCGGGCAGCTGCAGGCAGAGCTGCAGGCAGGGCTCGGGGCTTTGATAGCCCATCCCTTCAGAGGAACTTTGCATTTTCCATTTTGAACAATCTGATAAACCTATGCTTAAAATATCTCTGCCTATCCCCCCCCAAAAAAAATTGGAAAACACAAGTGCTAATTTAACCATAAGAGCCAGCGGAAGAGATGTATATTTACTGTAGAGTAAACGCCTCACTAAATCTGCAGTGCATCCCACCGCAGACTGACGGCAGCGAGGATACACCACCAAACAACGCTCCATTGTTAGATCTGGCGACAGGATTTCTGAGGAAGGAGTATGTGGGATTGTATAATACTTATGAATCACACACTCCTGCTTTCATCTCAAATGGAGGCTTATTCTGAACGTAGGGGCTGAAAGGGAAAAATCTGCTAATGGAGCAAGCTACCTTAAGAATTTCATTACTTGTTGGAAAAAAAATATTTGCAATTGCTAAAATACTGAAAAAAATAAATTATTTGGCTATTCTGGAGTAATGGAATAAAACTTTATGCGTTTTTGAACACCTCCCTCTCTCCAGCCTGCGTGCATCCGACACGGCCGGAGAGGGAGGGGAGGCCCATGGCCAGCCCCCTGCCCACCAGGCACTGACTCTGGCCTTTAAACCCCGTGTCAATAGTAAGGCAATCTTTGGAGTCTCTGACGGAGATTCCTGTGCACAGTGCATTGCAGATGCTCTTCCTTGCATTTTTTACACAATGCATCATTTTTGCTCACCCGTTATTTTCCATGTCAGCATGGCCTTTATTTCACATTTACTGTTTCCTCCTTGGGGCTGTGGCTGCTCCAATGTCCAGGTGATCTCAAAACCCCTGGGCTGGAAATGCCGCCTGCCTGCCCTGACGCACGCAGCATGCCCTTAGGAACAGCCGCGCTGGGCTGTGAAAGAATGCATTCCAAACCACGCCAAGGGGCTGCAAGACACTGGGGGAATAAATCCTGGGCAAAATCTTGAG